AGCTTTAAGGTCCCTTCCAACCCAGACCAGTATGTGATTCTATGAAAGGGACATGGGGAGAGCGTTTCAGCTCGGGGATGTGAGACCCACTGCTCTTGATGTGCTGCCTTCTTCCACATGTCCTGGTCTCACTCCCACCAGGCCAGCTGGGCAGCTGCAGCTGGGACACCCGGAGCTGCTCGGTGCCATCCCCAGCTGCTCCTCCACCCCGTGCCTGGTGTGAGCTGGCACTGAGATGCAGAACAGCCACCTTCTGCGGCCTTTTCCTGCCTGCTCCTGCTTTTGGACTCATTTTTGAGGGGGTGATACTCCTATTCGCTCTGGTGAGGGTCCCTTCTGCAGGGCAGAGACAGACCTGAGCCCAGGGCCATGTAGCATGGTGAAGCTGCCAGCTGAACCATCGGAGCTGGTTCCAGGAGCCATCGGAGATGCTCCACCAGACTTTTTTGCGTGGCCTCTGCACCTGCTTCTCTTTACAAAGGCCACTCATGTGCCCTTAGCACACCAGCCAGGCGCTGTTTTGGTCTGGATCTCAGCAGGGATCTCCAGGTCCCCATTTGAAGCTGCAGGATGGGCAGTTGCTATGGGGATGTCACTACCCAACCTGTTCTCCTGAGAGAGCAGCCCTGGCTTTGGTAGTTAGTCTGCTTGGGATGCAGAAGGCATCCGGAGCATCCGAATCATGCTGCATCCAGTGGGCAGACGGGCAGGAAGCCAGTGCCTCTTTGGTGCTGGAGCTGGGCTCCTGCCCACACTGAAGGGTGTCTGAGCAGCACTGTGCTGCGGTTTCACAGTCAGGGCTGGATCCTGACCCCCCTTCCCACCATCTGCCTGCCCACCTTGCAGCCTTTGCAGGCAGGGATCACAGAATCATAGAATTGTAGTGGTTGGAAAAGACCTTTAAGATCATCAGGTGCAACCATAAACCAACACTGCCAATTCCACCTCTAAACCATGTTCCTAAGCACCTTCTCTATCATCTTTTAAATGCCACCAGGGAAGGTGACTCCACCACCTCCCTGGGCCACCTGTCCCAATGCTTGGCTACCCTTTTGGTGAATAAATTCTTCCTCACATCCAATCTCAACTGCCCTTGGCGCAACTTGAGGCCATTTCCTCTTGTCCTGTCACTTGTTCCTTGGTTGAACAGACCCACCCCCACCTCTACACGTCCTTTCAGGTAGTTGTAGAGAGTGAGAATGTCTCCCCTCAGCCTGAATGGAGGGATCTGGGCTAGAAGTGGCAGATCCCTCCAGGGGGAGAATCCATTGTGGCAATGGAGGAGGTATTTGGAGCACCAGGGGAGAGGGCTGTGCTGGGCCTGGAGCTGCTGGGGAAGGTCCCAGCTTGAATCTGAGTGGGTGGGAGCTCTGGCTGAGTGCTGGCCCCAGGGCAGGGCAGGCTGTGGCTGGGATAGAGGCAGCTCCATCAGCCTAAGTACTGTATGGTCTGCAAGGTCATTTCAGTGTCACCTAACATGGCTGATGGCTGGAGCTCATGATTACCCCGCTGGTTTGGGTTTCTTCTGACGCATCTGTTGTTTCAGAAAAAAACCCATCGTAAAAATGCTCTGGTGGAGGGGGGGGGAGGTGAGCAAGGAAGAGAAGTGATGCAGTCTCCAATTTCCATGGCAACGTCCTTTTCACCAGAGGATGGGAAAAAGCAGGCTCTGGTTTCTGCTGGCAGTGTAAGGCGAAGCATTCATCACCCTGCCAGGGCTGGGTGCCCAAAAGAAGGTGCAGTGGAGGGGAGGCAGGAGCCAGAGTGCGTCTGGAGTCTGTTCCCACTGCACAGCACCAACTTGTGTGTCTTTGGGCCACAGCTGTGGGGTGAAGGAAGGCTGTGATCCTCCGTGCTGGTGTTGGGCTCCCATGGGCAGGTGCTGGAGCAGGAAGGAGCCCAAGG